CAGCTCCTGGTTGGCCTCCTCCAGCTGCCTGACGGCTGAGCAGAGCTGATGGAGCTGCTGTATGCTGTGATGGTTGGTCAGGTTCAGCAGCTGATGGAGGCTGTTGCTGGTTTGCTCCTTAAACAAGAAAAACTCCTGCTCCAGATCAGCGACGTTGTCTCTTAGGGCCTTTATCTTTGGAGAAGCAGGAGAGCTGGTGTGTCTGTGTATTGCAGGAGTCCTGGGGATAGGCTCTGTGATGGTGACAGAGGAGGTGCTGGACTCGTCTTCAGCCTGTCTCTTTACTTCAGGATCTTTTTTAATTTTGTGAACCTCCAATTTAAAGTTCCCGAAATTCCTCTGGAATTCATTAAGGCTGGTTTCTGGTCCTTGGATCATGACTGTACCATTGTGGTAGATGTTAATAGTCATTTTTGTGTTGTTGTCTCCTTCTAGGGTTAGTTGTCTGCCTTTGCTGATGCCTCCTTTTCTTATACATGCCATGGCAGAGCAGAGGACGGTGTGCCAGGCTGATGGGTGTTCAGTAAAGAAGAGCAGGTTACACTGGACTCTGTTGTCTTCTGGTCCACTGTAGTCAGACAATAATATTTCTGGATTCTCTCTCAGGATCATTTCTTTCATCCTTTTCTTTTCTTTAGCAGATTTAGTTTCTCCTGGATAGATTATCTCCAGCTCTCTCTCTCTCTCTCTCTCTCTCTCTCTCTCTCTCTCTCTCTCTCTCTCTCTCTCTCTCTCTCTCTCTCTCTCTCTCTCTCTCTCTCTCTCTCTCTCTCTCTCTTACTTTTTTATTTGCACTGATGGGAAATGACAGCATGTGTTTGCTGAATGGCTCCGGGGGAACTGTAAAGTTCCAGTGAATGGAGTTCCTTCATGTCTTCTGAGCTTATTTTCCTCTAAAAAGAGCGGAAGGAGGATTTCTGTGGTACTGCAAAAAAAGCTGAGAGCGTCTGACAGACAGACAGAGAGCTTCCTGTTTCTGGAGCTCCTCTTCCTGAAGTCAGTCTATATGTCTGAGAGCTTCCTGTGGGCAGGAGTCAGTGGCTGTGTTGGTTTAGAGACGGGTCAGTGATGCCAAACAACACAGAGAGCGCTTAGAGATATCAGCCAGTCAAAACTAAACGTCACTGGCTCTTTGATTGAGTTGTGATTGAAAGATGGGTTGATAGCTCTTATTTAGGGTTGTGTTTTGTTGTGTTTTGTTTTATTTTCTTTGTTTTTGATTTGTTTGTTTTGTGTTTTGTGTTTTGTTTTGTTGTGTTTTGTTTTTGATTTGTTTGTTTTGTGTTTTGTTTTGTTGTGTTTTGTTTTATTTTCTTTGTTTTTGATTTGTTTGTTTTGTGTTTTGTTTTGTTGTGTTTTGTTTTATTTTCTTTGTTTTTGATTTGTTTGTTTTGTGTTTTGTGTTTTGTTTTGTTGTGTTTTGTTTTATTTTCTTTGTTTTTGATTTCTTTGTTTTGTGTTTTGTTTGGTTGTGTTTTGTTTTATTTTCTTTGTTTTTGATTTGTTTGTTTTGTGTTTTGTTTTGTTGTGTTTTGTTTTGTTTTATTTTCTTTGTTTTTGATTTCTTTGTTTTGTGTTTTGTTTGGTTGTGTTTTGTTTTATTTTCTTTGTTTTTGATTTGTTTGTTGTGTTTTGTTTGGTTGTGTTTTGTTTTATTTTCTTTGTTTTTGATTTGTTTGTTGTGTTTTGTTTGGTTGTGTTTTGTTTTATTTTCTTTGTTTTTGATTTGTTTGTTGTGTTTTGTTTGGTTGTGTTTTGTTTTATTTTCTTTGTTTTTGATTTGTTTGTTTTCTGTTTTGTTTTGTTGTGTTTTTACTTTTGATTTGTTTTACTTTTTTGTTTTGTTGTGTTTTGTCTTTTGTGTATTTCTTTTCTTTTATGTTTTGTTTTCTTTTGTTTTTATTTTATTTATTTCTTGTATTATTTGTTAAATCTATTTTCACATTTATAGATTGAAAGGTTTCATTTTGTCATCCCTTTTGAGTGTGTAAATATCTTAAAGTCTTTGGTTTTAAATTCACTGTTGCTTTGAATCCACATTTACTATTGTGAATGATTTTGTAGCTTTTGCAGCGGAATGAATTAATGCTGAGAGTTACTGAAAAGCTAAAAAACTATCAGTGAATAAATACATGTATGTATGAATGGATGGATGGATGGATGAAGAATGATTGAATGAAAAAGCATAGATAGATTGCATAGATAAAAAATGCTTAAATAAAAGTTTCTGAATGGATGAAAATGAAAATTAATGAATGTTTGAAATGATGAGTGAATGAATGAATGAATGAATGAATGAAAGCGTGGATGAAAAGCATAACTCAAAGTATAGATGAATGTATGGGGGAATTAATAAATATTTAAATTACTTAATACATGCATGAATAAATGCATAAGTAAAAAGTACTGAATGAATGCATGGATAAAAAGCAATTAGCAAATGCAATAATTAATTATTGTTTCATTTATTGAATGCACGAATGAATGAGGGAACTACCTAATATTGATTGATTGAATCAATGCCTGGATGAAAAAGCGTAGATAAAATCTTTTAGGAATGAAGGAAATAAATGATGAATTTACTAAATACGTGCATGAATGAATGCAAATGTGAAATTAGATGAATGAATGTGTGAATCAGTGAATGAATGAATGAATGAATGAACGAACGAACGAATGAATGAATGAATGAATGAATGAATGAATGAATGAATGAATGAATAAAATCATAATGATATACAAGAATATGTGTGTCAATGAATGAATGAATGAATGGATGATAAATTAAACTAAAGCTTGCATGAATTAGTGCATGAATGAATTAAAGATAAAGTAAGAATGAATGTATGTTTGAGTTAATGCATTATTGGATGGATGGATGAATGAGAAGCATAAATGAAAGCATACAAGAATGTGTTGGTGTATGAATGTTTCAGTTAATGACTGCATGTGTGAATCAGTGAATGAACGAACGAGCGAATGAATGAATGAAAATCATGATGAAAGCATACAAGAACATGTGCATGAACGAATTAATCGAAACGGATTAATCAAACTAAAGCTTACATGAGTGAATGAATGGATAAAGTAAGAATGAATGTGTTTGAATTGATGCGTTAGTGAATGAATGAATGAATGAATGAATGAATGAATGAATGAATGAATGAATGAATGAATGAATGAATGGGTTAAGAAGCATAAATGAAAGCATACAAGAATGTGTGGGTGTATGAATGTTTCAGTTAATGAATGAATGTGTGGATGGAAAGCATATAAGAATATGTACATGAATGAATGTTTGAATGAATGAATAAATGATAAATCATAAATTAAAGCATACAAGAATGAGTGCATGAAGGAATGAATGCATGGATAAGTATAAATGAAAGCATATGAGAATGTGCGGGTGTATGAATGTTTCACTTAACAAATGCATGACTTAATGAATGTTTCGATTAATGAATGTTTGAACGAATTAATGTTTGAATTAATTATTGAATGAATGTCTGGATAAAAAGGCATAGAAGGGAGACAATGAATGAATAAATGTTTGATTGAATGAATTAATGAGTGCAAGAAAGAAAGAAAAGCATGAATGAAAAAATAAAATATATAAAAGCATACAAGAATTTATGGTTGTATGAATCTGTCTATGAATGGTTGTATGAATCTATACTGAATGAATGAAAGAATGAGTGCTGGGTGAGAGGCATAATGAAAGCATACAATAATATGTGCATGAATGAATGGATGATACATTTTAAATTAAAGCATACAAGAATGAGTGCATGAATGAATAAAAGGTAAACGTGAATGTATATTTGAATTAATTAATGCATTAATGAATGAATGAATGAGTGAATGAATAAATGAATGAGTGAGAAGCGTAAATAAATGCTTGAGTGCAAGAAAGAAAGAATAAATGAATGCATGAATGAAAAGCATGAATGAAAGCATATAAGAACTTGTACATGAATGAATGAATGAATGAATGAATAAATGAATGAATGAATGAAGATAGGAATGAAGGAAGGAAGGAGGGAAAAAGTAGGACGGAAGGAAGGAAAAGGAATGAATGAATGAATGAATGAACGAACAAACGAACGAACGAACGAACGAACGAATGAATGAATGAATGAACGAATGAAAGCATACAAGTATTAGTGCACAAATGAATGGATTGGTCTAAAAAGGTGGATGAATGGATGCCTGCATGAATGACAGACTGACTCTTCTCATAATTG